TGAGCCTTGTCAACACCGTCGGCAGCCTGGTCACCATCAACTGCAGCCCGCTGCTCCAGCTCTAATATGTGAACTTTCTTTCAAGCATTGGTAACCTAATAGCGATACACTTTTTAAAGAGCGCAATAAACGCAAAGTGTTAGCATATTGTTTTGTCCGGAATTTTTAGGACGTTGAAATTGTTGTCCAGAATTTTATGCGCTTTAACCGTTAAAGATTATCTCGGAGAGTATTTATGCTGCTCACATTTTGCAAGGCAAGCTTGGCGTGTGTCAATGCGGCTGACAAGATGCTATTTATGCTTTTATTAATTTGGTGGCTTACCAACTCGGGGTTGGTTACGTATAAATTCAGCGTTTTAAACCTTTTTAACAATGTGAATAGTAGATGCGAGGCAGCTAATAGTGAATTCTTGCCAGCAAACTGACCACGCATTACCCACGGAATATTCAACATGTACCAATCTTAGTAAAAGGCGCTCGAGCTGAGGGCACACAAACATGTAATTACATTGATATAGTATATTATCTCCACAATGATCAAGCAATACAGGGTGAACATAAAATTCGCATAAATTCTTTAATCTGGTCAGTTTATTCAAAATAGCTACCATCTGCTGCTAGGCACTGCTGGCACCGGTGGAACCATTCAGACCAGCAATGATAAAAATCTTGCGCATTCAAACTATGGAGCTGGGAAATCCAGGCAGATCTGGCCTCCTCCAACTGGGTATACTGGCATCTCCTGAGCCGGTTCTTGATGAGAGGGAACAGCCAGAAATCACTGGGGGCTAGGTCTGGAGAGTAGGGAGGGGTCTTCAATAGTTTGACCCCCAACTGGCTCCAGGCTTGGCTAGTAAATGAGCAAGTGTGAGCAGGGGCATTGTCTTGATGAAACCAAATTCTGTGCAGGTTGACTGTTTATGCTTCTTGACCAAGGCCTCAAAGGCTGGCTGAACTCCATAGTTGACATAGTAGGAGGCATCAACTGGGGGTTGCTCCAGGTTCAGGTCAGCATGCAGAATTCCTGCTCGAGTGAAAAATATCATGGCCATAAATTTGTGCTGCCACCGGGAGAACCACCCCTGCTGGGCAGGGGCCTCATCTGCAAAAGTGTCACATACCATCATTGCCCTGGGGGCCAGTAACTGGTGAGTGGAGATATACATATGATTCATCACAGGTGACAATATCATAGGTATACCTGTGGCTGGGATCCCCAAATGTATCCAAAAAATTGTGGCAGAATTCCTGGTGCTGGGCTCTTTGCTCATCAGTCAATAAATGAGGCACCCACCGAGAACATTTCATCTGGCAGTTCAGCTCCTGGTGCAAGACCTGGCGCATAGTTAATGTCACATAACACTATAACCACACTGCTGTGCTAGCATCCAGGTAGGAATTCGTTCCTGTTCATGTATCAGGGTGCATATGCATTCAGCGTAAAGTGATCTGATTTCCAAAGATGGGCGACCTGATCAGGGGTTATCTGTAAGGAGCTCCTGTCATACACTATGAAAGCGAGCCATCCACTGGTAGACCATAGCTTGTTTAGGGGCCTGGGCCCCCAACCTGTGGGTCAACTCTGCTAAGGCCTCCTGGGGGGATAAGTGGCGTAACCAGCAATAATATATAAGCAGGTGTAATTGGGAAAAATCCAAATGGTTTACAGATGACATTTTGGGATGGAGTGGGGAAAAAGTTTTTAGAGAAAAGTTGTAAAAACTCTAAACTCCTGAGCGTATTTATAGTACCCCCAGTACCTGCCCACCAGTAGAGAGGAGCACTAGCTATTCATGCACTCACCGAATTCTAAAGGGCAGGGTTACACAAAATTATGTGAATTTTATGCAAGCCCTATATAAGTGATAAATTTTTAGTCACAATTTTGGGTTTCCTGCTTGCTGTTGTTTGAGCTCCGGATTCGCATATCTCAATGTAAGCGACAATAGAGAAACTAGCAATCCAATTTTTGATTGACAGATCAATCATATTTACTATGGAGTGGAGATAAACTGCTTTATAATTTTATGCTTTGCCTTATATACATCACTTGCAGAGCAAATGATATTCTGAATTGTTAATCAAGCAAGTTTACATTGCTGCACTACCTTTTGGATGGCTTGCTACTGTGTGCAGCCTGCAGTTTACCATAGTCACCTATTCATGTAAAAGAAACCAGGTTGACTACATACATTACAAATCTACACATATATGCAAATGGCTCAGCTATATGCTTCCATCTGCTACCTATTGCCAACAGATTCATAAGCCGCCTCTATTAGCCTACATGGTAATAGTGTTTTAAATCAATAAACTTGAGAGTTGAATGAATAACAGACTCGGACTGAGCTTATAAGGCACCATTTAACAAAAAAAATTGGTTCATACAGAGTTTTAAATTTAATATTTTCCAAAAATTTATTGTTTTTAAAACTTTACTTAAAATAAAACTACCCATGCCTTCAGCTGATTAATAAAAATAGCTATACCAGGTGTTAAGGTTTACATAAGCCTAATACAAATCGACCTCTACTTTGTATTCACCATCTGCAGAATACATCTGTACCCTATTATACTCTTCTGGAAATGTGCGATCCAGATTATTGGTAACATCTTCATAGCCAACAACAACCTTAATGATTTTGCAATTATTTCTGCTTTCAAAGCCATCAACAAAGCTACGGATGGTTTCAGTAGAAGAAACTCTACGTATTGTGTCTATGTCATCCCACAAAGTATGCATACCACCAAAAGTATCTCTCATCATTGTTCCTATGTAGATGGTGTGTGTTATTGATTGGTGTTAGTGGATATGTAAAATAGAATGGAGTATCAAGTGGATAGCTGTGCAGATTGCTGATAAAAATGCAAGGCAAATAAAGCTCCTTAAATACTGTTTGAAAATGGGTGAACACAGTCAAATTAATATACCCATATATTAGTTAATAAGTTTGGCAAAGGACAAAGCCTTGCTGAAATATATTTTTTAATTTAACAGTCAAATACAATGCTTGTCCAGTAAATTAATTAATATGACTGGTAATAGGCAGCAAAAGCAATAAGCACTGCTTGTTAGCTGCACTTACTCAGTGCTTCACAGCATTTGGGTACAAGCCGCCATACTCCTTGTTACTGCTTGTGACAGATACCAATATATCTAAGCATTCTGGAAAACTTAACTCTAGAAAGCCGAGGAGACCGAGCCGATTCTCAAAAATATTTCAGTCGTAAGTGGATTACGGTTATTTTTAATTTCAACGGATTGTAATCAAGAAAACACAAGCATTACATGTCGGCCTTTTGGCTATTGCCATTAGTTGGCTTATATGTAATACGTAAAAGGAGCGAATGAGGTAAAATTGTCAGTTTGGCCGAGTGGTTTAAGGCGCCAGACTTGAAACTATATAAAGTTATCTGGTGGGATTTTCCCGCGTAGGTTCAAATCCTGCAGCTGACGCAATTTTTGAAGTTTTTTTTGGGAGCAGGCAGTAGTACGTCGTTTTTTGGCTAAATTTTAACCGAGCATTCTGTGAATAGAAATTACATTGATTTACATGCAAAGTGGAAACATGCACAAATAGAAAGAGAATTACTGGAGGTTGTGCTTCTTGATGTAGCGGTAATCCCTGACGACCTTGAAGGCGCCAAAGATGGCAATGACGACCCAGACCAGCATGAGGGCAATCATGGTGGGGATGTTGCCCTTGAGGTCGCTCACGTACATGTCGCACAGCTTGCCGACGAGGCCGCCAGTGTAGCCGTTAAAGTCCTGGGCGTCTTCGACGTCTTCGCGCGACAGGTCGGAGGTTTCGACGTCGCTTTCGGTGCCCAGCACCGAATCGATCTCGCTGATAAAGTACAGGCTCGACGACTCGTCCTCCAGGTCGCCGAGCTCGCCCTCGGGCTGGTATGCGACGCCGAGCGACGGAATGAGGTTGACCAGCTCAAAGTTGCCCTGCGTTGTCGGAGACTCGGCCTCCTGGCGTCTGTTCAGGCGCTGCTCGCCGGATTCGACGGTCTCGGAAGGATCCACGGGCTCGCTGGCCTCGAGCAGCGACGACTCGCTATTTTCACTCGACTCGCCGTCACCGCTCGACTCGTCGTCCAGGTCGCTGAGCTCGTTGGAGTTGAGTGACGAGAGCTTGTCGTTGTACGCAGACATGATGCTGTCGAGGTCGACCTGCGGCTGGAAGCTCATCGGGTCGAGCTCGTCGGCGTTAGGAATGTACACGCCGACAGCTAGCTCGCGCAGCGCCTGGGCCGTGGAGTTGAGCGGCTTGGTGAGGGCGGCAACAGGCGTGTACAGGACACGCGCACTAACACGGGGCAGATTGATGTCGTCGGTGAAGTTGTGAACCATGGTGAGGATCTTCTGGATCGACTGGATGTTCTTTGTGAGCGTGCAGTTGACCAGACCCTCGATTGGATCCTGCAGCGGCGTGCCGCCGAACACGTCGCGGATGCCGCCAATGTATTGGTCGACAAAGTTGTTGAGCGTGTCGTTGATGTTCTCCATGCCGCTGTTGAGCGGGCCAAACAGCGTGTCGGTGAGTGAGTATTCGGCGTCCTCGACGTGCGCGTTGATGTTGTGGGCAATGTCGATGGCGTCTTGGCGCGCGTTGCCCAGGATGCCCGTGTTGATGGCGTCCTGCTGGAACGTGTTTAGCTCCTGGGCCAACTTGGGGATGAAGTCGCGGCGCATGGCCTCGATGGCCTGGATCTGGACGATAATCGACGCGAGCCCAAAGGCGCCGGCAATGAAGCACGCGATGGCCGGCGGATGCCACACGTAGTGCAGCCACCAGCGCCACGCGGCGGTGCGCTCGGAGTCGCCAAACTTGCGCGTCACAAGGTTGGTGAAGCGCTGCAGCATGGGCTGGCCCGGCAGCACGAACAGGTCCATTTCCTTGCGCGTCGGCGGCTTCTCCATGAGCTCGCGCTTGGTGGCCGGCGCGCGGTAGTCGACTAGCTCCTGGCGGAAGTCCGTCAGGCGGCGGCGGAAGCGCGAGTCCTCGCGGATTGCCCACAGCGCCTTGAACAGCACAATTCCGATGGCGGCGCCGATGACGACGAGCCCGCAGATGTGCATGATCTTGGCGGCCGACGAGCCCAGATCGGTGATCGTGTCCTGGCCCATCGGGTGCGTGCACACGTCGGCCTGCCGGTCCGTGGAAATGTCGAGCTTGTCCTCGATGTCCACGTGCACGCCGTCGAACGCGTTGGTGACCAGGCTGCGCAGCATGCCGAACGGGATGTCGATGACCTGCGTGAAGTTGCCAAAGATCTCGTCGGACGTCGGGATCTTGTCGGCAATGTTGCTGATGCTGTCGGTCCAGTCCGAGGGGATCTGGATGTTGAGCTTCTGCTTGATGCTGTCGGTGTCGATGTTGACCGGGTTGCTGTTGCTGCCGCCGGTGAAGAAGTTGGCCACGCTGTTGGCGGCGTTCTGCACGCCGCTGGCAACCTGAGAGGCGACGTTCTGCAGGTCGCCGACCACGCTGTTGACGGCGGTCTCGAGCTCGTCGGTGATGAGCTTGCCGGCCTCGCTGATCATGGTCAATGTGGTCTTGACGATCAGCGTGGCAAAGCAGATGAACGTGCCGACGTACAGCTTGAGCACCCAGACGATTAGATCGCGCAGCATGGTGATGATGCGGTTGAGCGTGTTGCCCAGCGTGGTGATTGCGTTGTCGGCGGCGGTCTCGACCATGTGCACGGTGGCCAGTGCCGCGGTGGCCGGCGCGTTGACAATTGCGTTGGCTGCCGTGCCGACCGCCGAGCACCCGGTGTTCAGCGTCAGCGCGGCCTCGGTGGCAATCCGCTGGGCGCTGCTGGCCATCATGATGTGGCCGATGCCCATGAACACCAGCATGATGACGGTCTGGCTGGCCCACGACCGCGAGATCATGCCCCACTTGCCAACATACGGCGAAATCATCTCCTGCATGCGCCGCCGCGGCCGGAATCCCTTTTCGTTCATGGGCGGCGGGCCTCTGTAGTTGTCTGGCGGGTCCCGGCGGTTGGGCGGCGGCGGGCCTCTGTAGTTGTTTGGTGGGCCTCGGTGGTTAGGCGGCGGGCCTCGGTGGTTTGGCGGCGGGCCTCTGTGGTTTGGCGGTGGACCCCTGTGATCACGTGGAGGCGGTCCGCGCATATGTGGCGGGGGCGGGCCCCTGTGGCCAGGCGGTGGGCCTCTGCGATCGGGCGGGGGTCCCCTGCGGTCAGGCGACGGTCCTCTCTGATTAGGCGGCGGCGGACCTCTCTGATTAGGCGGCGGCGGGCCTCTCTGATTAGGCGGCGGGCGGCGCTCTTTCTGAGAGGGCAGCGGCGGGGCCATCTCTGGGCTGGGCCGCTTAGCGTCGTCGTTGTTATAAAACGTAAGCCTGGGGTGCTTTACCGCGGGCTCAGCCATTTCGGGGTCCTTTGTGAGAATGGGCACCATCAACTGGTCTTCGTCTTTGGGCGGCCACACGCCGGTGCCAATAGCGGGCGGGCGCTTGGGCATGATCATTTCGTCTTCGTCGTCCATGCGCAAGTACGTGTCGCGGGGCGGGGCCACGGGCTTGGCGCTGAAGGGCGGCGGGGGCGACGACGGGGACAAGTTATCGAGCTTTTCGTGCTTGCTGGGCTCGCCGGCCGGCGGCGATGGTTTGGGCGGTCCGAGGTTGAGACTGTGCAGGTCGGTGTATTTCTCGTTGTTCACGTAGCTCGAGCGGTCGTCAATGGTGCTTTCCAGGTCATCGTCGTTGTCGTCGTGCTTCTTGTCGGGCGGATACTCGTCCTTTCCGAAAAACTGCTTATAGAAATTCTCCATCCCTCCCATCTTCTAAAACAACTAAAATAAATTATGTAGCAAGAAGAGGAAGAAAAGTCTTCTACCATGCCCGGGAAACTCCACACTTGGACCCAGGGTATGAATGACTGAAAAAGAGGGCCCCGAGCAAGGCCAAGAGAATAAATTGTTTTTTGTGCTAAAGAGCAAACGGTTTTCTTTTTGGTACATGCAGATGATCGGAATAATAAGAACTAAAGGAAGAGGCATGTTAATAGGCTCAAAAGAACAAGGATAATGCGGCAAAAGAAGCGGGTAAAAAAGAAAGCTTTCTTTTTTTATTCACGTACAGATTGACACGGCTGCTTCTATACGCATGTGTTGTTGTTGCTGTTGTTTGCTAGAGGTGTATATTTCAGATTGGGAGATGAACTAGAAATAAAAGGACTAGCATTCGCTTTTTCTCCTACTTTGACAGAGCGTATATCCAATAAACGAAGAGATGGTAATATATAAAAGAACAGAGTAAATGCGCGGAGAGATGTGCAAGATTAGACGATAGAGAGACGTTAGTGGGGTTTTTTCTCGTTCATATTTTGTTCAGGGGGTGGTGTTAATTGGAGCCGCCGTTGACGCCCGAGGGCATGGGCGGCAGGGCCAGCGGCGACGTGGCGGGCTCGGACTTTGGCTCGGGCTTTGGGTCGGTTGCGTCGTCGCTCTGCGCAGCGGGCGACTCTGTGGGCGCAGGCGACTCGGCGGGCACAGGCGACTCGGCGGGCACAGGCGACTCGGCATGGGCGGGCGACTCGGCTTGCGCCGGCTCGGGCTTGGGGCGGCTGTCGGCGGCGGCGGGGTGGGTGGGCGGCAGGTCCAGCAGCTGGATGGCCTCGGCGTTCTCCTCGGGCGTGGGCTTGATCAGATGGTCGTTGAGCAGCTTGTTCATGGTGTACATGTACAGGCGCTCGGTGTGGAACAGCGTCTGCAGCTTGTCGTCGCACAGAATGTAGCGCTTGTCGGCGGCGTCCTGCAACTCGTGCTGCTTGATGTACTTCCACAGGTTCTTGACCACGTCGGTGCGCGCGCAGTACTTTTGGTCCAGAAAGTCGCG